CAATTCCGTGACCCCGGCGTGGTTCAAGACCACATGCAGGGGCCCACAACAAGGCTGGTGATGGTGGCATTGGTGTGACGGTTGTCCACAAAACAGGTCCGAGCTAGACTTGTGCTCTCTTTGTTAATTACGAGTTTGCAAACGCTGGCAATTTATGGTGTCTAAGTTGGACATGTTGTCCAAAGTGGACGTCGTCCGTATTCATTAAGGTTTGCAGCCGAAGCTGGTACAAGCTGTCTTGGCGTCTACGTCTTGTCAAGCCGATGTCGGATTTGAACACGCGTCGAAATGACTAAATTCTAATAGTTTCCAGTGTAGAGTAAAAAGGCTGTTGGTCAAAACTGGTAGGAAGTGGACTCAACCAGTGACAATGTTCAGAGGAATTTAACGAGGGTTTACAGCACATCGATGAAAGTTGAAGCAATTCAGCATGAACAGAGATTGCCGTTCACCACCGAGTCAGGCTACGCACGACTTGCGTTGTTCGCGTTTCTTACCATCTCGAAAGCTTTAGTGTCCACGATGGCAGCATTGTGTGGGGCGATTTGTAATCAGCGGGGATGCTGTGGAGGAAACCACGGCACCACGAAAAATCAATGCAGCAATAGATGGGATTCCTACGGGCTTTCACAAAAATGCAATCAAATTTCAGGTGAGAGTAATTTATCGCGACAAAAGCGTGTGCAGGTTTGTCCTTTTTATTAGCCAGAACAACAATGTGCTTATTTCGGCTGCTTGGATCCAGTGAATTTTTGTTACAATCTGGCAATCAGACACCAGACAGAAAATGCCAACTTCGATGAAAAAAGCACATTTTTGCATCCGTATCGCGTGGGTGTGGTGGTGGTGGTGGTGACAAAGTCTTGAGCCATGAAGAGACTCAGCAAAGCCATGGTTCGCTTTGACCCACCACCGTTTCTTTTTGTGGTTTGTTTAATGTTTTTTTCCACACTCACCCTAATCAGTCAAGAGTCGATGCTCTTGAAAGACGACATTGTCGACCAGGTCTATAGTACCAGGACAACAGAAGATCTATCCCTGTGGAATTTCGACATGTTCTTCTCCCCGGTTATGCATCCCGAAAACCATCATAATGTAGTCTGGCAGGTGGAAACTTTTACTATTGATGGCACACCTGACTTCACTTGTTTTCCGTCAGCAATTGTGGCGTCTGCTTCTTCACTGACTGCGTCAGTGCAACGAAAAATATTCGCCCACTTGGTAGCCTCTCTCCTTTAAACTAGACAGGTTTACACTGTTTGTCAGCACACAAAACTCACACAAATTTTAAGTAGACAGGAGGAGCCAAAGTCACTCCGCTAGCCGCTCTGCTACTTGCCAAAAAATCGCACAAATTACGGACACGCAAATGGGCAATGCGTATCCTGGCGATACTAATGCCTGTCTTCAGTATCATTTATTGATCTTTTGGTCCCCTTGCAAGGTAATAGCAGGTCTAGCTTCTGTCAGGCAAAACGTCGACTTGGCACTCTACCTAGAAACTGTTGTCATAAACGTGAAGTGCATTTCACCTCCCAACAAACGCCTCTCCAGATACTTGTGGCCCCACCCAATCTTTGTGTTGCTTCCTATGTTAATTTGGTGCGAAATACGATTTCACATTGACGCTAAGTCGACACCGCCAAAATGTTATCCGAGACCCAGATGAGGTGATTGATCGGATTAAGATGGCGACACCGAATGCGCCTATTTGGGCGCATTTAAAAGACGCCCTGTTTAAGAAAACAGGAGGAGTTTTCGCGCAAATGGCAGCATTGCTGTCTGAGGTGCAGATTAATGCATTCCATTAAACTCTAGTGGCTATGGTAAATTTGACTTGCATTGGCCTTCACTGTAGGTTGCTACAAATTACGGATTTAAAAACTCTTCTCACAGCTGTACGTCGAGAACGTTACGCTCACATTTTGTGAGATTGGGGACAGCAACTAACCCTGCCAAGTCCCACTCATTTTTGTAAATGTTAGTAATATAATCGCAGACTGTTCAGAGTTAATCTGGCTGTCGTGTACATGTTCCGGTTGGTTTCATGTTATAGTGAATTTCCGGTGACAATAGGACTTTCAATAAGTTTTTTTTCACGGCACGTCAATTTCTTCGCTAAAAACCACGTGCTGGTTGATTTTATTTGGTTTAAGAAAGGCGTTTAAAAGCAAAGAAAACGATAATATACCCTGACCAGAAACTTTACTTGGAAATATAGATAACGTCTTATGATCTTGATTGATCGAATCAAGACTATCAATTGGATTTGACATGTAGGACTTGTTTCATGAAGTTGTTGACGATTGAGCAAATTGTCAGGGATACAAGAAAGACAGTCGGTACAATTGAATGCATTCCGACGCCATCTGCACCAGCTTGAAGGCCCTGTTTTTGAACGAGACGACACGACGTATCAAATTCAATGTCGAAGAGATTGAAAGTGTGTAAATGCCGATAGACCAAGGTCATGTCTGACGAACGTGATCTGAAACTAAAACTGTGCACAAATGCGGAAATGTGAAGGGGTTGCCTGATTATCCATGCCGATGTGTACTCACAGTTAAGGACCATTTGTTAAATTACCGGTTCACAGACATCGGTTGACAAAATACCTTTACTAGAATTTGATTGGCCAAATCAGGAAAACCTCGATCGCTGGACAGTTTGATATTTGGGAGTTAAGGAGTTTTTTACGCAGTAAGGAAAAGGCAGATGCAACAAGACTGGCGTTATTGGTGGGAATCGTGCTTCTGCCGCTGCCCACCTGGCACGTTATTTACACCTTCACCCATCATCAGGGTGCTTCTAATTTATCCTTGGCAAATAACCTACTCGTTCGGCCATCAAGTCAAATATAAGCAGGGGATTGGCTGATCTCATGGGGAGAGGCATTATGGCGTGGGCTAGACGGAAAATAGGTGTTGTATTACGCGACAGATTAATGCTCTGTCTAAAGACATTTGAAATTTGGCTGATATTCTGTAGTTGATCTCAAAATTATCAAGGTACTATTAAACGCATTTTTGGACTTTTCCGCATGAAAACACGTAAATTTAAAGTAGGACTTTGACGTGAGCCAAGTTTTTCACTTTAAGCAAAACTTAGGAGCCATAATTCAAGACACGAAAACGCCAGACCTGTAAGGTCAAATTTATCTATTTAAAGACAACTAGGTCGCGTAATTCTGTAATTACCTGCATAAATATCATGTAGTAATTTTTGTTAGCAACAAATGCTGTCAATCTTAAGTGTTTTCAAGACGATAAGTCGAGGAAAACAATAACAAACAACGATTGTGAAATAATTTCAAATAAATTGTGAGGGATTCTTTAAAATTGCAAGGCTACAAAACTGTATCCATTTAATTCAATCTTTAGTCATAATGGTTTCGCCTAACCTATTTGGGAGTATGAAGCAGCTAGCGATATTTTATGTAGGCTTC